TCACCGGTGAGGATGTACATCTTGACTGGCATATATGATTAAAATATAATGATTATTATTATTATTATTGTCATTAAAATTTATTTCTTTAGGGTAAAATAAACTCATGTTCTGTCCCTTAATAGTTTCCAGCAGTCAAATTTCATAATAAAGCTATAATGTGATTTCGTTTTTTCTTTAGATACACAATCTAGTATGATGTGTACTAGTTTAAAAAAATGAATAAAACAACAATTTAATAATAATTGAATATAATTAATATATAATTTGGTAAATCTGTAGTTTAAAATATCTAACATCCCTCGCACCAGCACTTCAAACTAGGACTGCAATGGCCACTGACTCTTCCTTCTCCTTTGCATACGCGACGACAAGTTTCGTTGTCCCAAACAGCACAAGGACCTCCATAATTAGCAGAAAGGCAGTCACCAAAGGCAGTTTTGGCGCTGACGGTTAGTAGGAGAAGAACGGCAAAGAGGTATAATACTTTCATATTGAATCCTGCAAAAAAATATTAAAAACTAAAAATCTCAAGGAAAATAAACTTGCCCGAACACACTACATTTGTAAATTATATGACCTATTAACGTCAGATAATAAAATTGTGGCATAGGATTTTCTACATTGTGAACTGACGTGCAACCTATCATTAAATAGTCACTGTATAAGCCATACAGACTGTAGTCATACACAGAGGTATGAGCGGAAACATATAGTGTACTAATACTTATATGCTTACGAAACAGATGTTGCAGATCAAAAGGGCCTTCATATTTTTTTCTTTTTTAACATGCCTTAAGTGAAATGGTGTTAAATCTTTACAATCAGCCTTCTTTGGGTAACTGTCGTTTCTTCAAACCCGAATGATTATTAGGGTTTTAGACTATAGTTATAGAATAAATTTTTAATATAGGATGTAACACAAGTTCCTAGACGTCCAAAACCATGAAATTTACAAAAAGGAGGAATTTAAAGTGATAAACTGAATAGTGTGTATCTAAATATAGCAATATAAGGTAGTTTAGGGTCATACTAGAGTCACATAAGAGGTTTACCTGGAATCAGCAGATAAAAACTACTTTAACCTAGAGTTAAATCACGTAACCAAGAAAGCGGTGACTACTTTAATGGTAACAAGACGCCCTCATGAATGGAAAGATGTGCGGCTTAAAACTAGACATATTTACATTAGATTTACAACATGCTGGTTGGAGAAATAAACATCTCGATAAATATATGCAATCAAGGGTGTACAAGAGAGCAATAAGTCCCACTATGACGTACTCTGCAGAAATAACGCCTGACAGAAGTATAATATAACAAATAATCAAAACAATATACCAGCATAATATCAAATACCAGCATAAGAAAAAAATGGATATAATGACAAATCAAGAGATAAATCCAGAATTAAATAATAAAAGAATAATGGATCATAAAGACGAATCTAGATAAAATGAGTGTTAGAAGTGGCTATACGATAAATTTCGGCTATTCCTCAAAATAGTATTTTGTTTGCTTGTACATATAATTTTTTATGGGAATGATAGTGAAATATTTACAGCAAAAAGTTCCTTTTAAAAAATTGAAACCATTTTATTCTATACTATATACCAATTATCATAAAAAATAAAATATTGCGTACTTGGTGAAATAGTATAATACTTACAATATAAAACTTTCTTTTTAAGGGTAAAATATTGTGATGCTTTGTAATTGTGTATCCGTGACTTATATACTAAAACTTTTGATGATGATAAAAATGATAAAAACCATATGAATATTGTTTTTCACTTCACAATGAAAAACAATTTTATTATTTAGGCTGTTTTACATAATTAATTGATATCCCAAATTAAGATACCCCAAATTAATATGTTAAATAATATACTGTTAAAATTAACTAAGCTTAAAAAAGATAAGTAATTGCAGTATAAATTAATGTTATATAAATTTATTTTCATAAAGTGAATATTTTTACTGAATTATTTAATTAATACGTGAAATTTAACCTTACAGGAGTCCTGTCTTAATTTTTTCAATTTAATTTATTTGTTATGTGGGTGTTCAAACCCGAGACAATATATAAATAATTATGCAATTATTATATAAATATTTTCACATTGTTGGAAAAGACAAAAAGGAATTACATAGAGAGAATGGCAGATTTTAAACTTATTATAAAAATTATAAGGTATTTGTTACGTTGTTTCTGTTACTTGCACATCAATTATGTCAGTATAATAAAGTTTTTGTCTCAAAACTATTAAGAGTAGACGTGAAAATAAAGAAATACTAAAAAAAAAAACAAAAAACAGTCTGAGGAAATTATTACAGAAAAGTCAAGAAAGTAATGTAAGATAAAAATGGACAAAACGGTTCACCAATGCTGAAAAACTTGACAAAGAAAATACGAACATGAATAAAATAGAAAAAGGTCGAGAATGGAAAATAATTCAGACAAAAGATTGCGTATTCATTCCAATATATCGTTTAAGAACCTATGCAACTGGTAAATTACAATAAGAAAGAGATAAGTAAATACGATTTGTAAATTATTGGATAAAGTGAAATAGGTTGGATCGGCAGTACATCAACTTGAATAAAAGAACTTCTTTAGATTCTCCTGTGCGTTGTCTTTAGTTACTCTTTGGTAGTTGTCTATACTCTTTGAAACATTTTCAAAATACCTTTTTCGATTCTTGGAAATATGGTGGTTACGTCTTTGAGATACATAGGTTTTATTTCCTTAAAGACGTTGAGTAGGTATCATTTGCATATTGTACTTCTTAAAATTCCTCTATTCATGCCATTTGCACTTTGTGGCGATCCTAGAAGTTACTCTTTTTGTCCACATTTTAAATGATTCCACGCTGCTCAAGGTTCTGACATTAAGACTCCAAGGTCTAACATGCATTAGAAGAGAGACGCAATATTTTTACTTAAAAAGTAAAAATATTTTAATATAATGTGAGCTAGTATCGGAAAGGATTACTTTCCGGACATTATGCAGCCTTTACATACTCTATTACATACATTAAAGATATCTGTGAATAGATCTCTGTTGATTTTTTTTGCTATTTAGTTCCACTACAGTTCTTGTACAATTCAAATATCGTTGGCGTCAGTTGCGATCTAGCGTAGTCTATTTAAGTAGGATATAGTGTTTAACATTGTCAAAGGCTTTCTTGTCATCTATGAAGCAGACAAAAATATCGATCTTGGTATAAGACTTTTGAATTCATAGTTGAGCCTGTCTCGTAGATACCCTTTAGGAAATGATTCTTTATACTAACAAGTAATTAGTGACAATCTTTTGATAATATCTTTTTCGAAATTGTTACAAATGTTATTTTAACTAGTCAGTTGTAATTTTGTCTGAATAATCTATTCGGTGGATTAGGAGAATATAGTGACAATACTTTCAGCTCAAGAAGTAAATAGTCTTTAATAGATTCTGAACCAGTATCGGAAAAGATTATTTGGGCAAATCGCATAATGATTCTGTCTGCATCATCTTTCATTACCTTTAAAAACAGTGAAAACATTTAGTATAATAACATAACTAATAGTATTGTTAAAAAAAGCTCTAAAAGTAGAAAGTGCAATTCGGATACAAAACGAATTAACCGAAACAATAGACGTGAAAAGGAGACTACGTCAGGGAGACAGCTTAGCATGTATCTGGATTAACATTTATACTCGAAAAAATAATAAGTGGTGCATGTTAACGTAGTCTCAAGAAAAATAATCACCATCAACCATTCAATCAAATAGAACGAGCAACACAAAATGGTGACCTTAAAATTAATCAGACCAAAACAAAATATATACATTCAATTAAAAACGCAGAAATAAGGCAGCTACCTAATCTATCAATAAGAGAATACATCATTAAGGGGGTAAAAAGCTTTGTATACGTAGGATTCCTTGTTACATCTTGTAGCACGGGTATAGAGGAAGTGAAGAGACGAATATTATTTTCAATAAATGTAGACATGGCTTAATTAGGCAAAAATATAGATACCTTCGCAAAAAAAAACAAAATGTCAAATATGCAACACCGGTAACACCGGTACTCGCATACAGAAAGGAAATGGAATTTGGCGAATAAGAGACAAAATTAAACTATACTAGATATATCAGGATCAGCATAATATAACGTTCATCAAAACAGTACGACTTTGTTAGAGGGAACATGTTATACAAATGAAAGAAGGCGAAATCGCATCAGAAAAAAGCTCGAAATAAATCAGAATGGAATAGAATCCTAGAACAGGCTAAGAACGAAAAAGCGTTGTCGAGACAGTAATGACAGGATTTAAATCATAATTTTGGTAGGTTTACGATCTGATGTCAGCTGTATGGAAAGTAATTTAAATAAATTTATTCTCAAAAGCAGTTTTTCACAATAAATACTAAAAACGTCACTAACATTCACAATTACTAAGTAGTTAAATACTAGCAATTTGCAAAATTTCCATACGTTCAGAAGTTTAAACAAACTTAAAATAGAGCACTTGCAGTTAAATAACGTTTGACTTTTAATCTGTTTGTTGGTGAATTTTATTACAGTATTGAGAAATAACTCCTTTATGTTACTATAAGTATGTGCTACAAAAGTAACAAACAGTATTTAAACGTGTTTTAGATAATCTTGTTTTCTTTAAATTGGTGTTTTAAAGGAAACCAAAAATTCTGAATAAGGTAAGTTATATTTTAAATATCTTGTACGGGCATGACTAACTATCCAAAATAAGAAAGACTTAGTTCAAAGCCTGCTCTAATTAATATTTTTCGATGCCATTTTATAAATATATCACAAAAATAGTTTAAGTATTATAACCTTAGTGGATGAATTTATTTTTAAAGAATGTTCAGAAAAAAATAAATAATTTAAAATAAAAATCGACACATGATGTAAACACAATTTTATTTCATTATTAGTATTGTTTTCATTATGTCAATATGCAAAATATAGTTTTATATTATATAAAATACTAACAACCTTCGCACCAACATTTCAAGCTAGGACTGCAATGGCCACTTGGTCTTCCTTCTTCTTGACATACTCTACGACAGCTGTCGTTGTCCCAAACGGCACATGGACCTCCAAATCTTCCTGACAAACAGTCACCAACAGCAGTTTTGGCGCTGAGAGCAACAAATAAGACGATGACGAAGACGTAAAAAATTTTCATGTTGACGACTAAAATAAAATAAAAGAATATATTAAACGTGTAAAAGAAAACAAATTTTTTAATTACTTACGAAGTAGTTTCCTTTGCTTCTTTGGTACTAAAGTAATTGAGGATTGTATAGCCGTTTTGGTTCGTTTATATACGGTTTGGTTTATATATTTGGTTCGTCATAAGTAATGTGAGATAATAAAGGCAATAAAAAATGTAAATCATTTGAATAAAAATTTGTTTTGTAATCTTAATGAACTTAAAATGCAGAAGATTGTGATTTATCTTTACTTGATTCTGTTCATTAATATCACTAATTACAAAAAAAAAAATAATTTATGATACGAGCTTATCACTTAGCCCTTTCTATATAAATCCTGAAAGCAATAATGTATTCATCTCATTCTTCATCTTCGTAGATTATTCAAGAGTTAAATTTTATAAGGTAAGTAAGTATCCTTATTCTATTTATTGAGTGCTTACTTTTGCAATTGGATTTAAACTTTTATCATCTAAACCTTATTCTGCGTAAATATTTTAGTTGGATTGTTTTTATGGGAGTTTTCATTTTCTTCTTAAATTCAACTTTTTTTAGTATCTGATCTTTGCCGATTTTTTAAGCATGATATTCTGGTCCAAGGGTTTTCAATTTCTAGAAATCTAATATGTGTTAATATTTTCTCTTCGTTTTTTGATACTAATTTGTAATTTGCTTTATATTGAACACGTGGTCTGTAGTAGACCTGCATTTTCAAAAACCGTCTTGTTCTTCTATGATCTATTTTCTAATATTCTTTAATCTATTTTAAATTTTTTAAAGTATATTGAATAAAGTGTATTCAGTAAACTGATATGATTACGGCCACCTTTTTTTTAACCAATAGTATACCTTCTGTTGTTTGCCATGTCTCAGGTGATTTCGGAATCGAACTTAAATTTATTTATAAGATAAAGCTTTCTTAAATGTAAAAAGGGAAATCCATATGTTAGAAGTTACGTGATGATTTGGTCTGTTCATGTTGTTTTTCTATTATGTGTTGTCTTGCACTATTATATGGTCAATTTCATATAAAATTTGATGTTGTATATAGATAAACTACTAAGGTTATACCACATAGTGTCACAGTATTGCATTCATTATTGTTAGTTAATAACATTTAAGTGGGCGGTATACTATTTTGTTTTATTCGTTTGTTTTATCATTTTGCAAACCAAAGTACTTAAATCACTTTAAATTTGGCTAATAAACTTTTCTCTGTGTTGCTGATGTATTTACCTTGAAACCTTATTAGTTTCATCACGAACTTTTCTGCATATTTTTTTATTTTCATCTGGTTTATGTTGAAAGTCCTTATAACATGGCTTGCTTTTTTTACTTACTGCATTTATACTTGATTTCATTATTGTAATCCTTTCTTGCTAGAAAAAGTTTTTTCTGTCATAATCTGTTTTTCAATTTATTTATTACAAGTATTAATTGTTTAAAATATAATTTGTACTATTTTTTTCCAGGATTCAACATGAAAGTTTTATTTATCTTTGCTTTCATCGTAATTTTTGCTACCAGCGCCAAAATTGTACTTGGTGATTGCTTATCAGGCAGATTTGGAGGTCCATGTGCTGTGTGGGATAACGACAGTTGTCGTAGAGTATGCCAAGAAGAAGGAAGACCTAGTGGTCACTGCAGCCCTAGTTTGAAATGTTGGTGCGAGGGTTGTTAATATTTTAAATCAACGGGAACCTTCTTGTTTATTATTAACAATATTTATATGTAAATTAGATTACCACTAAATATTTACAATATTGTTTTATTTATAAAAATGAACCACTAAGAATTATTAACGAAAAACATGCACAGGCACTAAGGTACGTATTATTACATATTAATAGAAAAACAAGATGAGATGGCAAGATCGAAAATAAGAAAAATTAAACACAGGATGAAGGGGTTAAGATGATAGAGAATAATGCGGAGGATGAGCGTCTGAATATAGATAAATAAGCATAACAAGATAGAAGACAAACGCAAATGATCATCTCTATCTAGGAGATAATTTAAAGATAGTGTAGAATAGGTGTTAAAGACAAGATTAATGACGTCCTAGAGGAGATTGTCCATTTGAAGTTTGAACTCAAGATACAAAAGCGTCTAGAATGGATCTTAAATTTTCTTGTGATAATTAACACGGGAAAATGGTCCAATTTAGTTAATTGCATATGTATATAATCTCTAACTCCACATGCTTCGAGAAGTGTTTCCAGAATATTCTCCAGCGCGTTGATAGCAACTGTGTCACTGTGTTGGATAATATTATTGCAGCCGTCTTGTTGAGCTCAGTCCAACGATGACTGATCGAAAATCGGTCGTACAGAGATATCCACGAGAAAAATGTACCCCATTTATACAAAGTATGGTCAAAGTAAAACTAATGATAATAATCAAAGAGCATCGTGTTAGATATCGTCAACATGCTGTTTGCTAGATTTAATGGTATTAGTATTTTACAATTTCCACCTTGCTGTTAAGGGTTGAATCTAATTAGGGTTGAATTATTTTGGGCTTAAATGAAGGAATATAAATATGTGCCTATTATAAATCAGTATTGATCGTATACATCCAACAAATTGGGAAAATGCTGTTCTCCACATATTGAAACTGGTAGGGATTATGTGAAAGTTGTAATAAATAATAAAAAATGTTATTGAGCCTGTAATAGTAGGGGTCCTAGTAAACAAGACACAAAACTCAATGGATTCCCAGGATTCCGATGGGACACTACATGCGTGAATTACATCATCATGCAATGTAGATGAATACTCTTCTTTTAATTTGATGCAGCAATTCTTGCTTTGTTCAAAAATACTTCATTCTTTTGCAACACTTACAACAATTTAAATTATTTCTCAAGGGACAAAAACGTGTTCGATGAAAACTTTACACGATTTTGGTCGGCACCAAAGGGAAATATCTACTATACAGTAAGCGTGCGCATGCGTACATAACGTGCGCATGCGTACGTGTACCAGTGTAACTTACCTTCAATTCAGAAAATAAATTGACTCTTAATTTCATGACAACTTCAAAAATTGAATTCAATGGGAGGACCAGAATAAATGTAACATGCAATTTGTAGGACAACGTGGGTGTTAAATTATATAAACAATAACTTCTTCTTCTGATGGCGCCGTCTCCTTTCGAAGGTTGACGATTCAAATGGCAATTTTAGTTTTGGAAACCGCTGCGCGAAAGATTTCTGCGGATGAGCTGTCGAACCATTTCCTCAGGTCTTTCAGTCGCGAGTACAATAACTAACCAACACAAAAAAGCAGCTGGTTAGTAATTATGTTTCATGACTTCGTTAATGGTACCAGTTGAAAAGGGGGACTCTGATAAAAATTTGCATTTTGTACGACAAATATTTTTTGGCTAATTTAGATAATTATCCTAACAATTAACAAAACAAAATTTGAGTTTGTTGTGATACAATTTCGAAAATTTTTAAAGCAACATATTTTATCTCTGACACCTCTATTAGTTACCACAAACGAAAATTGTTTTAAGGACAAAAGATAAGCGTCTAGTCTACGGGATCAAAAATATTGAGTATCTCCCAAAAATACGCGACGTCCAGACGTACACATCTGGACGTCGCGAGGAGTAAGTACAGCTTTTTGCTTGGCCTTATAGTGATGTTCATTTAGACCTAGCTGTTTGATGTTATCTAGGAGGTTGTTGGGAATAACATAAGTAGTAGATAGAATAATAGGTATTGTTTGGGTACTTTCCATTCTCCATTGTCTCCTGATTTGTATTTCTAGATCACTGTACTTGGTGATATTTTCGTTGTATTTAACACATAAATTAGTGGTGTTGGGTATCGCCATATCAATAAGTGTTGTTTGTCTATTAAGTTTATTAGCTAGTATGGGATCCGGTCTATTATGCGCCACTTGTTAGTCGTAAGCACAGTCCGATCCCATTACAGCTTCTAGTTATCATTTTTAAGCATTCTGTCAGGGACGTATTGATAATAAGGAAGCTGATCGGTTTGAAGAAATCCCAGTTTGTCAGCTAGTTCTGGGTGGATAATCTTTCTTACTGAGTCATGGCGTTCTTTATAATCAGTACCGACAAATGCCTAATAAATTATGATTATTATTATTCCAGATTTAGCCATACGCCTCACAGTCCCTCTAAGGGAAAAATTCACTCATCCCAGATACCTACGATATCAAAAAGATTGAGCTCTGGTGGGACTCTTTCCGTGTTATCGAGTCCTAGGTGACTTGGTATGTTGGAGTATCTCCCAAAAATGTTCGTACATATCTGGACGTCGCGAGGAGTACAGCTTTCTGCATGGCCTTATAAAGATGTTCATTTAGACCCAGCCGTTTTATGTTCGCTAGAAAATTTTTGGAAATAACACCAGTAGTAGATATAACAATAGGTAGTGTCTGGATACTTTCCATTCTCCATTGTCTCCTGATTTGAATTTCTAGATCTCTGTACTTAGCGATCTTTTCGTTGTATTTAACACCTAAATTATTGGTGTTGGGTATCGCCACATCAATACGTGTTGTTTGTCTAGTAAGTTTATTAACTAGTATGAGATCCGGTCTATTATGGGCCACTGGTTGGTCTGTAAGCACAGTGCGGTCCCAGTATAGTTGTCATTTTCAAGCATTCTATCAGGGACGTATTGATAATAAGGAATATGGTCGGTTTGGAGAAGTCCCAGTTTTTCTGCGGTCGGTTTCGACTTATGGATCTTTAACAATTTATTTCAGGTAATTTTTAGTTGGAATAACCAGATCCTGAATGGCAAGTAGGAAACCCTCAGTCTCGGGAAACATCTTTCCTGGTGTCAACCAATAGTTCGATGCTGTATTGTCGACATATTCTTGGCTAATCTTATTGAGATGTCGCCCATGCAAAGGTTTACTAATCCAGGTGCGCATTTTTCTTGCTGAGTCAGGTGGTTTATGCGCATTTCTTGTTCCCTCAGTTTAAGCGGCGTCGTATCATCTACTGCGCAAATTGCTCTATGTAAAGTAGTTATTATTATTATTATTATCATTAAAATTTATTTTATTAGAGTAATATAGACTCATATTCTGTCTCATAATAGTTTCCAGCAGTTAAATGTCATATTAAAGCTATGATGTGCCTTCGTTTTTTCTCTAGTACACGATCTAGGATGATGTGTATTAGTTTAAAAAAAAGGAATAAAACAAGAATTTAATAATAATTGAATATAATTAATATATAATTTGGTAAATCTGTAGTTTGAAATATCTAACATCCCTCGCACCAGCACTTCAAACTAGGACTGCAATGGCCACTGACTCTTCCTTCTCCTTTGCATACGCGACGACAGGTTTCGTTGTCCCAAACTGCACAAGGACCTCCATAATTAGCAGAAAGGCAGTCACCAAAAGCAGTTTTGGCGCTGACGGTTAATAGGAGAAGAACGGCAAAGAGGTATAATACTTTCATATTGAATCCTGCAAAAAAATATTAAAAACTAAAAATCTCAAAGAAAATAAACTTGCCCGAACACACTACATTTGTAAATTATATAACTTATTAACGTCAGATAATAAAATTGTGGCCAAGGGTTTTCTACATTGTGCTCTGACGTGCAACCTATCATTAAATAGTCACTGTATAAGCCATACAGACTGTAGTCACACACAGAGGTATGAGAGGAAACATATAGTGTACTAATACTTATACGCTTACGAAACAGATGTTGCAGATCAAAAAGGGCTTCATATTTTTTTTAACATGCCTTAAGTGAAATGGTGTTAAATCTTTACAATCAGCCATCTTTGGGTAACTGTCGTTTTGTCAAACCCGAATGAATATTAGGTTTTTAGACTATAGTTATAGAATAAATTTTAAATATAGGATGTAACACCAGTTCCTAGACGTCCAAAACCATGAAATTTACAAAAAGGAGGAATTTAGAGTGATAAACCGAATGGTGTGTATCTAAATATAGCAATATAAAGTAGTTTAGGGTAATACTAGGGTCACATAGGAGGTTTTCCTGGAATCAGCAGATATAAACTACTTTAACCTAGAGTTCAATCACGTAACCAAGAAAGCGGTGACTATTTTAATGGTAACAAGACGCCCTAATGAATGGAAAGATGTGCGGCTTAAAACTAGACATATTTACATTAGATTTACAACATGCTGGTTGGAGAAATAAACATCTCGATAAATATATGCAATCAAGGGTGTACAAGAGAGCAATAAGTCCCACTATGACGTACTCTGCAGAAATACCGCCTGACAGAAGTATATTATAACAAATAATCAAAACAATTGGGATTAAAATAACAAGAACGAAAATAGAAACAAGCATCTAGAAAAAGAAATGAAATGCACATAATGAGAATATCAAATACCAGCATAAGAAAAAATGGATATAATGACAAATCAAGAGATAAATCCGCAATTAAATAGTAAAAGAATAATGGATTATGAAGACGAATCTAGATAAAATGAGTGTTAGATGTGGCTAAGGACATATTATATAGAAGTGTGAATGATAAAATGAGTGTTAGAAATGGCCGTACGATAAATTTCGGCTTTCCTCAAAATAGTATTTTGTTTGCGTGTATAATTTTTTATGGGAATAATTGTGAAATAATTAAAGCAAAAAGTTTCTTTTAAAAAATTGAAACCATTTTATTCTATACTATATATCAA